CCGCAGCCGCCCTCCCGGTGGTCAGGCGTGGGGGCGCGGCGCGGGCTCGCATGAGCTTGTGACAGACTCCCCCCTTCTCTCTCTCCCGCCCTCTCTTTGGGCCCCCCCTTCTCCCTTTCTATCACACACACACACACACACACACACAAACACACACACACACACACTCTCTCTCTCTCTCTCTCTCTCTCTCTCTCTCTGCAGTACGACGATGTGTACAAGGTGCGCCCCTGCGACCTGGCCGTCATCGTCCGCAAGGCCACCAGCGGGGACCGCGGCGCCTTCCACGCCTCAGTCAAATCAGTCATCATCCCGGCCGTCCCGGACCGCGGCGGCCGCACCGCCGAGGGCGAGCGCGCGGGGGGCCCCCGCGGCGGGGGCGGGGGCCGCTACGGGCAGCAGAAGGGCGGCGGCTGGCGTGGCAGGCGCAAGGGTTAGGCAGCTAGCTCTGCCGCCGTGTCGAGTCAACAGATGATGAGCCGCCACTCCATGGTTGCTGAGCCGCCAATCAGAGTTTGCAGTTGAATGCCAGGTTGCGTCCTAGTGCAGGGTCGTTACTGCACGTAGCTGTGGGGCAGGAGGTGTTGCTGTGTTGTCGTGCTCTTGCGCATGGACAGTGCTGCGCATCGCTGCGTGCAGGAGGTGTAGAGCGTGGGGATTTTGTAGTGTTGCATCCGTGCAAACCTTTGTAGTTTTGCAGGTTTGCACACCTTGTACTTGCACAGGCTGTACCATCATGACGCCATGCTGCACTGCGGTACAGTACAGTGGTGCCAGTCACCCCTGGAGTCAACTGTACATGACCCATACATGTTTACATACACACATACCGTACACGTACACACACAAACATGTCGTGCCCAATACTGCCGTGCAGGCAGCGCCCCACGTCTCACCACCATCGCCGTTTGCGCACGCACTTTGTTGTTACAACATCAATGCACAGGTCAAAGTGCCGTGCTCGACCGCCCACTCGCTGCGAGTCGCCACTGGCTGTGTAACGCACCACCCGAAAGCAACGCGCCGCCCCAGCTGGGCGCTCATGACCCGCCACAGCCTTGGCGCCACCCGCCGCGCTTGTCAGCCGCGCGCAGCAAGGCCGGCGATGACTGTTGCAGCAGCAGATGGCGCGGGGGCTGAGGCAGGGAGCGGTGGCCATAGGGGCGTGGCTGGAGGTGAAGAAGCAAGGGTGGCGGTCATCACAGACGCGGTGGCCTCGAATGACATTTCAGCCAAAACGTGATCCAGAAAAGATGTCAGCTGGAGCAGTCCAACTGCTCCAGCTGGTGATTCACCACGTAATCCACGAGGAATTGGGAAAATAAGGACGTGCGTCTGTCACCATCCAGGTGCTTTGTGTACCAATGGCAGTGAGCATGGGCAGCGCCGGGCGCCGTGACTTTGGGAGCGAAAGAGAGACGTCACGCGACGCGGCAGGGTGTGAAGGCTCAGGCGCTTCTCAGCGCGACCACTTGCGCTCTGCCTGCGACTTGTTGGCTTGAGCTGCGGTTTGGAGGCGGTGAGGAAAAGAGGATGACGGAATTCAAACGTGCAAGGCGCCGTCGATAAGAGGGCGGCTCAACGCACCCCACCTAAGAGCGGGCGAGTCCCAAATGGGCGCTCCCTACCCCATCGTTCCCACCCACGGAAGCCCAAGCCATCTCCCCCCATGCAAGGCTCACCCTGCGCCGCCCTCAGCCGGTACGCCGCGTAGCGCTGCGCCGTCGACCCGACCCCAAACCCCTCGCGCCGCGCCGGCCCCGCCTCCCCCTCCGACCCCTCCTGCCCGGCCAGCAGCGGGGCCCCCATCTCCCCCTGGCCCGCGGCCCCCGCCGCGGGCGCGGCCGCGGCACCACCGGCGG